GATCACCTTTGATTCTTGTATGTTTTCCTCCGAGCCTGTGGTGGTTCAACCGTGAGGTTACGATGCTACGAAGAAGAAGAGGGTGTTACAGGACTTTTGGAAAGAGAGGGACCATATGATTTTTTTTTTTTGGTCACAGGACCATATGATATTTTATTTTTGGATCATTCAACCTTTGTGCATCGCATATGATCTTTATTTTGTTCATTTCAACCCTACTTTGCTCATGCTTTATTGTTTGTAAAACTCATATTAATGATCTTGCTTATAAGCTTTCTATTTTTAGTTCTTGAAAGAATTATAGGCTGACACCAACCAGAGTACTAATCTTATGATATACTCAAAATTTGAGTCTCAAATGTAACTTGTGTTGATTTTTAGGGGTTTTGCCTTTGGCTCCAATAAGTCTAATTCACTACTTCATCTGATATTTCGAATAGACAATGCCTAATCTAATAACATCAAGGTTCACTCTACATAAACACTCATTTAATCGTAGACTGCTAAATCAAAATTGAGAGGAGAGTAAGTATTACACTAGAGCTAATTCTCTTTTCTTCCACGCATAAGCTATAAAAATCAAAAGACTACTAAGAAGACCAGTCTCAGCAAGGAGAGCGTAAGAGCACTTCTCACGATCACTTCCTCACCCCGTAGTACTAAAATGTACGTTGCCTGGATGATGATGGATTCTCTTCAGGAAGATTAAGTATTTGCTGAATCTGGTAATGAGCCTGCACCAGTGGTACAATGTTCAGACAATCCATAAACCGGATCAAAACCTTTTTATACGTCTGATGCAGAGTTGCTACACAGTTCCCCAACCAACAAGTGAATTAGAAAGCAAGATAGTACTTGAACTTACCAGTTTGATGCGCCCTTTGATCTGTGTAATAACACCAGTGACCTCTTCTAATTCTCTATAAAAATAAGACCACCAGTTTCAAGATTTAGTCATTATAATACATCCTATCAGACAACTGGTTTGTCATATATACAATGATGTAAGCATGTTAATCTTTTCGAATAATTTATCTAGAAACGCAGCATGAGGAGCAAAAAGAAAGATTATCATACTTTTTAATTCTTTGCTCCCTTTGTGAAATATAGTCAAGAGCTTCTTGCCGTGTGAACTCCACATAAAATCCGAGGCCTACATCCATGAATATGTGACGAGTATCTGGCCTGTACTCAAACAGACACCAAAATCAAGTGTAAACGATATCAGAAGCAATCCTGGTACTGGTAGAAACCATCTCCAAGTTACAAAGATTTTCCGCTCAATCATATAACATAACTAGCATCTAACATAGAAAATACAGTACAAAGTTTATTGAATGCAGAAGACGAGTTTGTGCTATTGTGAAAATGCATTAAGCTGAGTACGCTGACAAAGTGAATCGACTAAGATAAAAACAAAAGAAACAAAGCCACAAGTATTAAGCGGCATACACTTGAGCTTGCATGTAAATTTCTGAACCGAGGTTGACCATGGTTTTGAGAGTATTTACACCATTTTGCTCCAGAGTTTCTAGGTTTTTTCGCAAGTCAGAGCTGGAGTGGGAGTAACCGTTAAGGAAACAAGAACATCCAACCGAAAATTAGAGCTCACTAGAGTAGGAAAGTATAGTGAGCGACTAGACCAAGAACAAGTGAAAGACCGATTGGTAAGTGAGTCAGTCATCTTTGATGGGGCAAATACATGGGAGAAACTAACAAAGAACATTAAGGATGAGCTTAATGAGATGCACATTTCGAGAAGCAAGAAGAAAGAGTCTTCCCTATACAAAAGAAAAGGATACAGTACTTTTTGTTCTTCAAAGACCTTGTCCCTGCAACAAATGCAGAGAATACAAATGAATAGCATGCGAAGAAGAAGGATTAACCCAACCATAGAAGCAAAACTTGAACATGATACACAGAATTGAAAATCTGGATGTGAAAAGAAGAATACCGTGAAGCAGTAGCGTGAACAAGCTTCTGTTTTAAGCCTTTATCGATGATCTCCTCCAACAACTGCAAGTCCTTTTGGCGTCCCTCGTCCATTACCTGCACCGTCACATCAAGCTCAATTACAAGAGTTGAAATTAAGAAAATCAAAGCGATAGGAACATACCAATACCCAAAAACAATCAGGAGCTGCTGAATCCGACAAAGGGTCTAAACCTCCGTAAAACGACAAAAGAGAAGGACTTCTTCGACCTGAGT